ACAATAGATGCTATGGGGTTTATTAGACAGCTTTTTTTCACATCATCAAGGGTGTATTTAATAAACTGATGTGAACCCAAAAGAAAAAAAGATTCTAAGCAATACTAGGCCAAATGCTAAATGTGAACACTAAAATGTGACCAGCTTGAAAAGATCAGAAAAATATGTAAGCTAAAAAACAGCCATCTTGTCAGAAATGCATATTTTGACAAAAATTGTAAAATCGGGCATCTGCACCATCAGCTTTTAACACTTAGTGAACTTCTATCAGGGAGGCCTGTGCTAAGCTGCCCTAAGCAAGGATTTTAACAGCTTTATCACCAGACCAATAACTTCTCAATGAGCAGACTGAGAAACATCAGAAAGAAAAAGTCCTTCTACTCCAGTGAAAAGACTTATAAAGACACCTGCAGTAATATCTGCTATTTTCCACTCTTAGAGTTTAAATATCAGCTTTTGGGGAGGCATGCCTGTCGTCTTACTCTATGCTGAGCTCTTAGGGCATAGGCCAGACAACAAAACCACTTTCAGCTGTGGCTAAGAGGTTTGTGGATTTACAAGAAACTCCAACTTTAACAGGGTGAAACTCGGCAGAACGGGACATACAGGATCTGCAAAAATGTTTTGTATACAACACAGTGGCTATAAGAACAGAAGGTTGATTTTAGATGGTTTTCCTTTAATTAATCACAAATATTGCATGAAAATTTAGGCTATTGAATAGTATTACATATCTTGAACTCCAAAGTGCATCAGACGACAATGACTAAGAAACAATGTTAGTCTGAGCTCTCTAACTAAGCCAAGATTTAAAATAGTTTTGAAATAAATATCTTTTTTATTTTAGTTTTGACTTCTTATTTATAATTCTATTTTTGTTTAATCCATTTTTAGTATTTGTTAGCTAATTTAGTTTTTTTTTTTTTTTTTTTTGAAAAGGCTTAGTTTCAGTTTAGTTATTATTAGTTTCAGCTATGGCTTTGGTCTTTTACACCATAATGAACTTATGAAGAGTTTCAGTCTGGCTTAAGAGTTCATCATAGCACTGAAACAGCTCTGGTGAAAGTGGTTAATGATATTCTCATGGCCTCAGATAATGGACTTGTATCTGTACTTGTAGATTAAAGGAGCAGCACTAGACTGGTTTATGTCTTATCTGTGTGATTGATTTCAGTTTGTTCACGTCAATGAAAAATCTTCCTCATGCACAAGGGCTACCTGTGGATTACCACAGGGATCAGTGCTAGGACCAATTCTTTTTGCTATATATACTGTATATATATGCTCCCAATTGGTAGAACTATTAGAAAGCATGGGATTAATTTCATTATGCTAATGATAATCGGCTATATCTGTCAATAAATCCAGATGAAGCTAACCCATTACATAGATTACAGGCATGTCTTGAAGACATAAAAGCCTGAATGACTCTTAACTTTCTGCTCCCGAATGCAGAAAAAAACAGAAGTTATAGTCTTTGAAAAAGAAGCTGATTAGTCAGTCACTTAATTTGGATGTGATTAAACTGATTTCAGATTATAAAGTAAAACATCTTGGTGTTGTTTTTGATCAGGACCTGTCATTTAAATCCCATATCAAAGAGGTTTCTAGAATTTCCTTCTTTTATCTGCGCAATTTTGCAAAAATTAGAAACATCCTGTCCAGGGGTGATGCTGAGAAACTAGTCTGTGCATTTGTTACTTCAAGGCTGAACTATTGTAATTCTTTACTATCAGGAAGTCAGCATCTTCTGTAAAGTATTTGTGATCTTTAGCTTGTCAGTTTCTTATCAGATTAAACAGAATATCCTTTCCAATCCCATCTTAGAGCAAAATAGTTTGGTTATAAAATGGCTGATGGTGGAGGCCCTTAGTTGATAAGAAGGCTTTCAGGATGTGGTTTATAAAGAGAATATCATCAGTTTGTCCTTTATTCTAAAGGATAAAACTAAATAATTCTTGATAAGACTCGCTTAAGGCTGTCTTTGGCAAGAGGTGGGGTACAGGTGGTAAAAATCCCTAGCCCATCATAGGTTATCAGAAAGACTTATAGGACAACCAACCATGTACATATAGCTAAATGAAATTGGAGCAACCCAAAGTTTTTAAGGAAGCTTTAGAACCTGGAAGGAATCCATCCAAGCAAAGTGAGTATAGGAGAGCTGTTAGCTGAAAGACCCAAGGCCACCTTTCCAACATGATCTTGTTACTCTGACCAATCACTCTGCTGCAAATCCTCTCCTGTGTCCAGCTTACTCTATTGCTAATTTTCTTAACTGCATCATTTTAGCCTCACCTACTTGTCTGCCGGCTACATTGGTGGGTCATTTTTTGTTTTTTGCTCATTTGCTTCTCTCTACAAACTCTCCAAAATGTTATTCTCAGCAAACCCCAAATAGCAAAGATAATAGAAATGTGGTTAGCCAAAACACATCGAATCAAAACCTAAATTTAATCTAGAAAACTTGCCACAGGCATCCCTGGAGCATATTCTTTTGCTCTTTTTGTATTTACCTCCTTTTCATTGACATGGAAGCCTCTCATGAGTCCATCAAGCAAGTGGCCTTCCACTTTCTGTTGTTATATTAAACCACGGTCCCAAGTGGAAGCAACAAACCAACACCCAATCTGTTGGAAATACATTTTTTGTCTCCTATCATTCATCAGGAAACAATTCAGTTGCAACAGAATTATTTGACATAGAGAGAAGAGATACATGTTCATGCTGCCTGTTGGCTGAGATCCAGATAACAAGTGGCATCTCCATTGATATCATGTGGGAGAATCCTGTCACTCTGCTGACTGGATTAGAAAATGGATCACAGGGATGTGGAAGAGTAAACAGCAACCCTTCTATTTCCAATTTCTTGTACAGCAGATAGAAATCAGCTAAAAAGCAGGAGATATTTTCAAACAAGGTTTCATAACAGACTATTGATGGATAGATAATCATTTGTAATTAATGAATGTTGTTTTGATTTCAGACCACTTTTTTCTGATTGAGATCAGGATGCAACGTAGCTAATCAAGGTGCAACCCACTTCTCGCTTAAAAAGAATAAAAAATTGCTGGAGAAAGGCACCAACCCTCTGCAACCGTACAAGAATGGGCAGGTATAGACAGTGAGTGGGTGGAGGTAGACACCTTAGTGTATATCCTGCTCAGTGTTGGTAGAGTTTAGACTTAGACATTTAGACTTAGACAGATTTTATTTTGTCATTTTGTACACACAAGTGAATACAAAAAGAAATTTTGTTAAGTACAGCTCTCTAGAATTTTTCATTCTTTAAAGTGCATCCTTGATAAAGGTAAGCAGCAGTGATAAAAACATTGTGATGGGAAAAAAAAACACTGGTGAGAAAAAAAGTGATGTTAAGATATATATATATATATATAGTTACAGTTCCATACAGGTTATTTTATTTTATTTTACTAATATATTTTTCATTCCTGTTTTTGCTTCATAATTTGTTACAGCTATCTGAATTTATATTGATTTTTTTAAGTAAACCTAAAAAAAACAGAAAGAATAGATCTGATTGGAGCCTTTGCTGATTTTTTTTAGAGTAGTACAAGCAGGCATACGTTGTAGATTTGGTTCATTCTACCTTTTTTTCCTTTGTAGCTGCATGAGAAACCACAATGTTCAAAATGGCTATTGGCTGCCAAAATGTTTTATTTTGTTGTCATTTTTTTAAAGTTGAGCAACATAACATTGGCTTGCCAAATAAGTTAATTATATTACCCTTCTACATGTTTTAGGGTAGAACTACAGTATGTGCAGGATGTACTAACAGGCTGTACAGGGTATTTTCAGTATGAGTACTGTTACATCCCTAGCTGCCATGTCTAAAAGCCTGATAGTTGTCAGAAAAATTGAAAAATTATTATTATTCATAAACTTAATTTATCACAATAGACTTTTATTTCCTTCTACTTTATCTAGCATGTGATTTACCACTTGCCCCTTATTCTTTCTTCTGATTCATAATGCTTAAATTTAAACATTAGTTTGCAACTTTGCTTCACTTACTATCTCGGGGTTTGTTTGAGTTAGCATTATGTTGCAGTTTCCATCTATTTGTGTTTAGGTTAAAGCTATTACTTCTGGATTATTGGATGAAATTTTTTATTTTGTTATTCATGGTATTTGTTTTCCTTTTTACTCACCATTGTTTGTCTAAGTATTTCCTACTAAATTGACTAGATAATGTCATCCATTACCTTACTGGGCTCTACCATTTAGAGGGTTTCCTTTGGAGTTATGCTTTGTTTGTTTTTCTTTAAAGTAACTTTTTGAGTTAACTTGTATCATATTGTTTATTTTGCAGACTCTTTCTTTATGTAGATGAGTTTGTAAATGAGATGAATTTCTTTCTTGTTTCTATGTTTAGACTTAGTTTTTTTTTCTACCTGTTTAATTGAGGCTTGGTCCACTGAAGTGCAGGTGTGTTGCTACTTGGTTATATAAGCACTGAGCTCTTGGAAGTTCAGGAAGGTTTTTTCAGAGTGAAATGCTGAATAAAAGACAACAGAGAAACTGGAACTGGTGGCTGAAGCGGTTTTTTTTTTTGGTTCAGCTGATTGATCCTCGACCAAACTACCTCACATAGCTAGTTAGAAGTTATTCTCTGTTCATACAATAAATACCACAAAAGTGTATATAAATATGAGTTAGAAACATTTCATCCATTGTGTATAATAATCATCTATCTTCAATATAATTAATCGTTACCAAGCAAAAGACTCACTGACCTTAAAGGCAAGAAAAAAAAAGATACATGGATGTCCTAAAAGAAATTCTTCATTCATGTAAACAATTCTGGGAATTAAATTATTCGCCCTCTGAGAATGAGTGCAGACACAGTGTAAAACATCTTAATTCAACAGAGTGGACTCAATCAGGCTGAGAGGGCATCCTACTGTGAGGCACCACTGCTAACCATAGAGACAGTATGCTGATCACTGTGTAGAGACCAGCTAAAGGAAACAAGCACATACGTGTTTGAAGATTGGTGATGACAGTGCCACTTGTGAGGGGTCCTTTGGTGGCATACAGGGCCACAGAGTAGGTGGTGCTTGGTTTGAGGTTGGACAGCTGGTGCTCATGCTTGCTTCCTTCAACCAGGAAAGTGTCTGCTGTCACTGCAAAAACAACACAACCAACATGTACCTGTTAATCATTTAACCATCAGCATTCCATGAACACTTTTAAATTGAAGGAAAATAATAGAGAATTTAGCATAATAACATTTTGCCGAACATTTTGTACGGATTCTGACAGGGCATTTCTAATGAGGTCAAATGATTTTGGTTGACTTGCAGTCAGCAAAAGTCAGGAAATTTTAGTTTTTGCCAAGGCCTATTTATGCATTAGAACAGTCTATTTTATTTTTACTCTCTTTTGATATTTACAGTAGGATATTTCCACGTTGGGGTTAACCTCCACCACAGTCTCATGTCAGCCTCGAAAATTTTGTTTTCAGCATTGTTCAGTATTTAGATCCACTCATATTCACTGGCAAATCTCCAGCACATAATGCTGCCACCACAACTGGACACAGATGGGATTGTTTGATCAGTGTCATGCACAGTATTAGATTCCCACCATGAATTGCATTCTCGTTTGCAAGAAAAATGTTTATTAGTATATTATTTAATCAGAACGCCTACTTCCACATGTTTTCTATTTTCCCTGCATTAGTTCATACCTCTTCGGAATTTTATCCATGGAATTTTTTCTGATGTGCTTTTGGCCTTTCTGAGACTGTTCTATATGAGAAGAGCACAATTTATAATTATAAATCAGGACCGATTATACTCATTTTACTAATTAGGTAATTTCTTTAGTTGTTTTTGTAGGGTTTTAATTTAGTGACTCACAAGGGAATTAATATCCATGTATCACAGTTTTCTGGTCTTTGAAAACAGGAGAAGAGTTTAGGTATAATTGTTGTTCCACTGAAAATATGATTGTCAGACTATGAAAAGAGCATGAATACTTTGCAATGGAACACAGCAGTCCCAGAAGCATGGAAAATTGCGGATTTGACCAGCATTTGCATAGTTTTTCAGTTTCAGTGGATTTACATTCCATTTATGCTCTTGGATGAAGAATCCTTTTGGGAGCAACTGTGCAATATGAGGCAAATTATGAGCCTGTTTATATCTAAATCATGGCTGTCCACTCTGTAATTACCTAATACACAGAACTGGAAAAGCAATCCTCATCTAATCTAACGGCTGATCCCCAGCAGTTCTTAAGTCTCTCTCCATTACAACTCAAAAATGTTTTGAATGAACTGAGATAATTGACAACTTAATATCCACTGTTTTCTTTAAGAGTCTATAAAAAAAAAAATAGGTAAAATTATTTCGCAATGATTGATGATGATTATAAGGCATTTGATAAACGAGAGACTTGTCAAAGAAAGAAATGTAATGTTGAACATTTTACAGTACAATATACTGATTGTACCAGAGCCAATAAAAATATAATAACCTCTTTTCCTTTAAAACAAATACATTAATTCATATAATGGAAGTTCCTAAATGTGACAAAGAAAGCAATGAATCACAGACAGAATTCTGGCTTCTAAATCAAGCCATGCTGTTATGGATTTTATGTAGGTGTTCTTGCCAATACAAATCTGATTTGTAATGCAGTGCAATACTCAGCACGGTATTCATTCATTGACATGGTTTGGATTAACATTGAAGTGCATCTGTCAATACCTTGCATTGCACTTTTCCAAATCCCTGTTGGCACTTGTTTACAAATAGCTGTTCAGCTGACACGTACTATCTCTGTATCTGATATATTCTGGTTGTATTGTACCAAACAACACTGTAATTCATATTTCTACTGAGTCGTGTAATGACGATTATAAATGTTTAGCAATTAATTTTTTTCTGCAGCTACTTCTACAGAAAATCTATAACATTTAGAGATGAACTGAAAAGCATGTGTTACATATTTGCACCCTTTGTGTTGTGTTAGTTTTTAAATAACATCTGCTGTTTTTGCTTTCACATCGCAGCATTGGTTCAAAAATATCCTGGCATTGCATCATTAAATATCTTGATCGGGATCTCAGACAATGAAGACAAGAATTGCATCCCAAGTTCAGGGTCTTTAAAAACTACATTGCTTGTACAGGGCTCATTAAAACAAAATTAAACTATGTATCTAGGTTGATTAAGACATAATTAAATGACTGGTACCCCAGTACCACACATGGGGTTCTATGGACCATGATTTTGGCATGCAATATGCAGCCTTGTTTTGCAAGGCCAAGATTTAAAAATCATTGCCTATTTTTGTGTTCACTGCTTTAACATTATTGAGTTAATAAGGATGAATCATACTTTCAATTTTATTTCATTCTATGCAAAGACACTGGCATTGAAAGATTAACCTCTTCCTCAGTCCATCTGTGTATTTGGATCTGCCTGAGCTCATCTGCAGCTAGAGATACTTGAAGCTTTCCCAGTATTTGTGCTTAGCTGAAACATTAGTCACTGAAATGTATAAACTTCAGAGCAAGTCACCAACTTCATAAAGGTGGAGTATTCTGAAAGTTTTGTCAGTAATAAAGCTCAACTACTTTCACATGGAAATATACTATACACTGAGTTTTTAAATAAGCCATATTGAAAGAGTAAACATGTTAACCACTGTCAAGCACCCTAGCAAACTGCTTTGCACAAAGCTATCCTCTGCAGGAGCAAGACTTGAGTTTACTAATGAGACTGCAGCTTAAGTATTGGGTCAGGAACAAGTGGTTAAGTTAGCTGAGCTTTAATTGAAGTATCACTAAAGCATTTCAGTTGCTTTCTTTACCTAATTAAATTGTTGCTTCGAAAGCTTGTAGAGTCTGTATGACAGAAACACCACAAGGGAAAGATTAGCTATTGCTGACAATTAAAATGGATAGGAAAGACATGTTACTTGGGAGTCATGGCTGTAATATAGACCATGTGATACAGTGTGAATAATAGTTTATTTTGCTGCATATTCATAACACTGATTTGGTAAAGTAATGAATAGGGACTTATAATTAAGAAATACAAATAAACAAATAAGGAAGAAGAAGAAAAAAAAGGCAACTTACTTATAACATCCTTGTTATACTTAATACTTACTTTCATTTTGTTAATTAGATGCCTATACAGACTAAAACAAATGCTCCTTTTAAAAACTAAATACATAAAACATCTAACTATAACTACATAATTTGAAAGTAATCAAAAAGTCAACTACAACTGAGTATTCACACTATTCTTTTGCACTTAAATAGCTACGCAAATAATATCCTTGATGTTTAAAACCTCTTGAAGAGTTCATATTTTCATATAAGAGACAAAGGAAGAAAAAATATGGCATTTTATTGTTAGTGATTCCCATATTTAAGTGTGTGATAAACAACAAATGAATAATAGCAATAGAAAGACAACTCACACTGGTTATGTGTGATGGTCAGCACGTAGTTGTCCACACTGGAAAGGGGAGGATTCCACCTCAGCAGGGCTCCTTGTGGAGTAATATTGAGGGCTGTCAACTCTGCAGGCATATCCATGGCTATGCATAAAGAAACAACTGTATATTAAAACGTTGCACTGTTTAATGGTTGAAAAGTCAATGGTAATAATTCTGGAATAAAAGACATTTTGCAAAAATGATTATCATGAAAAAATGCTGGCAATGACATAGATATTAACTCACACTGATATACCTATTATTTATTGCAATGCATGAACCTCCAGTCAAAACCCCAGCTGAATGAAAATATATTTTAAATAATTCTGCAACAAAAGAAACTCATTGAAAAGCAAATATGATATAATGTATAAAAACTCAAATATTCTCTAGGGCCAACAGTTTCCCTGGCCTCTTTATAATTTAACTATCACATTCTTGGACATGCCAAAATTGAGTTTGAATTTAATTATACCTTTAACCCCAGTGTTTCAACCCCAATTTCTCCACTGCCAGGTTATTTTGGCACGACAGAGAGTGAGGGGGGCTGATGTGGAATTATGAGTGAGACCCAAAGTTCTGCCTCTATCATATGATTGATAATACCCTTATTAAAGCAAAATACAACTGGAGCCATTACCACACTTAAGCGTATTACCTTTATTACTTAAAATTACAGAAATATCTAAGAAAATTTAGTGTAAGCTTCCCAAGTCAATTTACGGAATGAGCTTTGCATCTTTTGTGTTGTTGAAAAAAGTCCTGCTGCTATGAAAATATACAATTTAACAATAGTACTGATAAGAAACATAAGATTTGCAAGAGTGTAGCAGCCATACCCCGATTTTCCCTAATCTTAAGCTACAGAGGTGCTCTGATTTCTACATCCTGAATCCAAGCAGTGGCAGTATTATCTGTGGAGAGGGCCCTGTGTTTTAAATAATACAGCTACTGTAATAGATATTGTTATCACTTGCATTAACCTTTCAGCATAGGATGGTCAGCCAGTGTGTTGAATGTCTAAGGGAAACGTATTCCAGGACGTTACTACTTTTTTCTTTTTTTATGCTCCTTTTTGGTACTATACTGTATACACTCTTTTTATGTTGTCTGTTGTATTTTTATCTTTAATGGCATTTTGCTTTAACTCTTTGTACTCTATATAAGCTACTGGAGCCAGAATTCCCCTGAGGGAGTGATCCCAGGGGATAAATAAAATTGAGTCTACATATAAGTCTGAAAGAGAAAAATGTGATGATGATGATGATGATGATGATGATGATGATGATGATCACATTGATTTTTTGTTGTTGTTTCATAAGCTAGTCCACACCGACTAAAATGGGGTCACATCATACACATAAGTTAAAAAGAAATGATTACATGCATATTTCACAAATGGAAAAAAAGGAATTCAACTTGGTCAGGTTGTTACTAGTCTTGAGATTTTGTTCTTTTTTTCCTTTCTAAATGCAAATCTGAGTGTGCATGGGCAGTTTCCTGATGGTTCCCAAAGATTGTAGACAAATGCGTTTAAGGACAAAGACGCAGACTGCTTGTCATCTCTTTTTCTTTGCACATCCCAAATGTCCACAAATTATTTCCGTTACTGTTGTTGAAAGTAAACTGTAAATAATGTGATGATTTCTTAAATTAAGTGTATTCACCCTTAATTTAAGTAGGTAAATGAGATAGTTTGCCAATGGAATGAGTAATTTTACTCTTAAAATAAGATAATTAGATGATATGCACTTGAAATAAGACAATGAAATTGTGTTTTCTTATATTAAGTGTAAATTGTCTTGTTCCATTGGCAAAATGTTTCTTTTACCTCCTCAATCCAAGAACAAATGCACTTATTTTAAGACAAAATGACTAAAAAGATTTAGATTTTTTGCAGTGAAGGAGTGAGCTGCTGCTTATGTTGGCAATAGGTTTCTCTAGTTTATTTAGTAATGGAAGTTAGTTCTTGTCATTTGGTTAATTTTATACCTAACTTACAATTGTTGTAGTCATTGGATCTCTGCTGACACTGGAATGACTCATACATTTACGATCATGAGCCTCCTCTAGATAGGTTGCAACAAGGTGATAACGTTCAAACACAAGAAGTGTAAATAAACTGTTGACACTTAATTGATGCAATATTTGCTTAAGTTCTGACCTTGTTACTTGAGCTACAAACTAAAACGTTCAATGAAAAAATGTATACAATAGCTCTAGGGTAAAGGAATTAAACAGGTGTGTTTGTGTAGTCTTTATCTAAATATTAATTAGGGTAGTTCACTACACATCACACTCTACATAACTAAAGACACAAAAAGATGGTTTAAACCACTACAACTTTCAGCTGAGACATATTATTTGGGAAAAACACATTAGGATTATTTTGCCTCAAATGAAAAAATAAAACAGCTCTTTTTTCTACAGTTCTATTACATATGCTGTATTTTAGGAAACCCTGCAGGGCGATGTTAAAGAGTGCTTTTTTTCTGAGCTATGCTGACATTTCGGAGGGCAGCCAGTAACCTCTGCTTGAGCTGAATGCTTCAAAAGCAGAAATGGAGCTACAAGCTTTTAAAGTACCTCCACATAAACCTTTTATACAGCAAACAAAGAACAGGGTTAGGACCGGCTTATATACTTTGATTTATAGTCTAAATTGACTTAATGTGTCCTTGCTTCAACTTATGGTCACAAATTAATCACTGACTGCAGAAATATACAGGGTTGTAGAGTATCAAAGTAATCACATTCAGCCACATGGATTTTTTTTGTCTTATAGTCATCCTAGAGGGGCAACTTAAGGAGTCTATTTAGGTAAAAAAAAAAAAAAATTCAATAGTATCACAAAAACAATTTAGGAAAGCATTTGTTTTTCTACTAAATAGTAGATATAGGATCCTGGGTGGGAAATTAAGTGCTCTGCTGTGTCAGGTCAGAAAATGTTTTTTACCTTGATCTCACATCACAATCTCAATATTTTCTTTTTTTCTTACATCTTCAGATCAAAAGTTTGAGCTGTCTAGGACTCATGGGCGTAGGTTTGCATAGGGACCATAGGGACATGTCCCTACCAAAATTTTGAACTGACCTAATTGTCCCTACCAATAATTGGATGTGAGCAA